ACATGCTTTGAACAATGGAATAGTAATACTCAAGAAATGGAGACATTTAGACAAGTAAAGTAGAAGGCACTGGAAAGGAAGATGACATCTGGTGACAAGTCATGACTTGGGGAGAAAAGAAAGATGAGGTCAGTTTTCCATACAAACCAATTCTCCTAAGACAGAGATGGCAACAAATTTTTATCCCTGATGTTCTTGAAAAATTATCACATGATTAGGCACAGTTTATTTATACTCCATTTCATTCCAGTCTTTTCCACTCGAGTGACCTGTTTACCATCATCTCCTCCACATCAAGATGATGTTTCTAAGCCGGGTGCTGGTGGCTCATGCCTGTAATTCCAGCTACTCAGGAGGCTGAGATCTGAGGATCACGGTTCAAAGCCAGCCCGGGTAGGAAAGTCCATGAGACTCTTATCTCCAATAAAGCACTAGACAACCAGAAGTGTCGCTGTGGCTCAAGCAGTAGAGCACTCGTCTTGAGCTGAAGAGTGCAAGGACAGTGCCCAAACCCAGAGTTCAAGCCCCATAACTGACAAAAAAAATTAAAGATGGTTTTTCTATATTTGGTTCTTCCTTCTAGAACCTTCTTACTCAGCAAATATTAAAAAAGGGTCTTACTGGCTCTAATGTCTATATCAAAAGCAAAGTTATTAGGTCTTCTTATAGTAAATTTTCTTATAGCCAGTCATTCTTTGTGATACATTGAATGGACCAACCTTTTATTGATGCTGAGGAAGTTAGGTTCTAATAGCTCAGACAAAGCCCTTTCTTTTAGTTATTGAGAGTCAGGCAGCAAGATTGCCATTGTTGCATTGAAAAGGAAATATGTCAGAAGCCAAAAGACTGCTTAATTCATCTTGATGCACACATTTTCCATTTTACTTCATATACTCTGTATGTTCAGCTCATACATTTCTTGCCTATCTATATGTGCTTGTTGGAGAAGGTTGGGGTAGGGGACAGAAGTTTATTTAACATATTAGATGTCTTTACCTGGTGTCATTATCAGAATTCACTGAAGCATGTTCAACCGGTAAAAAGATGTTACTTTTTCAACTCGTTACAAAAGAATACAAACATCCTTACAAAAATATTTCAAGTTCAGGGCCCAAAAGTGCTTGACTTAGTACAAAGAACAAGATCTTTCATGGGAAAACATTTTGTATGGATTCATTCATATTTCAAGAGTGACAATAGCTGATTATTTTTAGATCATTTATTCTGAAACCACAACCTGTTGAGCAAGTCAATGGTAAAGCTACCATAACATATTGAACATAAGTTCAATATGCAAGCAAAGCAATGAGAATTCAAAAGTTGTTAATAACGACTAAAATGCTAGACTAAGAGGTGGCCACAAAATACACATTGGTTGTGTTTCTAACCTTATTTGGGCATGAAATCAGCCATGAAGTGATATGGTCCATCAGACTGTTGACACAGGGGCTACCAGCCTCTAAGGGAAAGGGCTTAAACCTGTCTATGCCCTCATTGCAGAATATAATCAGGGCTTTGTGTTTTCCTCATGACTCCAGCTTATTCTCCAACTCTGTACTCAGTGGCCACTTAGTGGTTAAGAAACATGACTAAGAAAACTAACAGTAATTCAGTTACCAGAAAACTTAGATCTTTACTGTGCCTTCTTTGATTCTTTTGTGTTCTGGTAAAATATTGCCTTGTGGTTATCATCATATATGTATTTTTTGAATCATTGCATTTGATATTTTTTAGTTAAAAGCCTCAGCATTCCCTTAGGATTTCTGAAGCATTTAAGTAAGAGTTGGATTATAGGTGTTTGAAGTGTTGAGTTGTTCTGTATCTGAGTACTGAATGAGCATATGATGTCTGAAATGAATTTCTTTCTATTCATTGATCTCCAGAGAGAAAATAAAACCTAATTGTTTTTTGAATGCTAACCACATGTTAGACTTTTTGCTAAGTCCATCACATTATTCATTCATTTTCTTTTCACAACTATCTGATAAGATTGTTGTAATTATTATTATTTTTCCAGATGAGCAAACAGAGACATGGAGTGCTCAAGTTTCCAGAATAAGAGACTAAACCCTGCTCTATGAGAAACAGCTTCCAACTACAATAAAAGCCCAACAAATTCTGCCACTTCTGTCACTCTCACCCTGGTCTAAGTCATCTTAATGTTCAAGTAGTGAGGCCTAAAATGTTCTTCCTGCTTCTCCAGTTCCTCCTCTTTTCTGTTGTCAGTATAGCAGCTAAGCCACATTACCCACATTCAAAATCATCTAGTGGCTTCCTCTTTCAGTCAGAAAAAAAAATCTTTTTCCAAGAACTTATCTGATCCGCACTTATACCCCCATTGCTCATTTGTGTCCTCATTGCCTCCAAGATCCCACTGCACCCCACACTAGTTTTGAGCTGTTGCTAAGCATGCTCTTTTGTTTCAGAGTGCCATAGCCTTTATGTGAGTGCTCCTCCCAAGATGTTTCCTCAGCATCACTTATCACTTCTCACTCTGCAATACTCTCTCCTCTCTCCTTGTGTGAATGTTCTCCACAGTATTTATAATGAGTTGATATACCATGCATTTTATAAATTGATTGGTTTATTCTGTCTCTAACCACTAATATTAATGTTTCATTTTTTTGTCTGCTTTCTTTCCTCTCATATTCCAAGAACAGAGAATCCAGTGGGTGTTTAATAAATTGACTAAATGAATAAATGAGTATATTGTAGAGTTGTTTTGCAAAATTAAGCTAACATATGGAAAGCATTTAGAACAAACAATGCTCAGCATGAAAGTAATGTCTAATAAATGCCATTTTGTACTATTATATAATAATACAATAGTTATTGAATGAATGATGCATGAAAACATTAGATACTCTTACTTTATTGTTAGTATAAAGTGGCTAATCAAGCTGCAAATGTCTTACATTTTCTAATTTACATTGGCAGCGATTGCCAATAACTCATGTTATTTCTCTTCCTAGTATGTAGAAAGCACAGTGCAACCTTTTCTGTGCCTAGTCACTTTGCTCTCAGCATTTTCACAGAGAGGGTGTATGAAGTCAAACAGATCCCATCATAGGACAGTTTTTAAGGATGAATAAAAGTAACAAGGTGGACGTGTAGCTCAGTGGTGAAGTGCTTACTAGCGTTCATAAGACCCTAAGTTTTATCCTCAGCCTAGAAAAAAATCAAATTAAAAAATAAGGAAACATATGAGTGTTTCACATGGCACACAACATGTTAATTCTCTTTGTTACAGCATTCCAGAGAACTAGCAACTACATTTAAAAGATACTCCTTTATGGTTTAAAAGGGGTTTTAAACTTGTATTTTTCTAAGTGGTGATATATACCTAAAGGGCAGATCATAGAGAATTTTCATCAATCTTCTTAAACTCTTATTAATTACACAGAAAGACAATTAAGTTCTTTCTTCTTTGTCTTTCTTTATTATATTTGGACAAAATGTTGTCCAGATGAAATGTAGAGTAGCATCATCCAAGGTATATTAAATGATCTTCTTTTTCTGATTTAAGACTAAAGAGAAAAAAATTGAATTCATTCCATGTCAATGAAATAATCTTAGCTCGTGTTACGTTAAGGAGATTCCTAGTGTTCAAATAGATCATTCTTCCCCAAAATATGACTGCCTTGGACAATGTGCATGAGTAAAGATTTCATTGAATTTGGGAAGCAGGTTCTTTTTGGAGGGTGGTACTGAAGTTTGGAACCAAAACTTTGTGCTTGCTAGGCAGATAAATCTACTACTCAAGGACACATCCCAACCAAGGAACTGGTCATTGAACCTACTTTCTAGCCTGTCTTTCAGGCAGTCTGAATGACAATAAGCCATGTTTGGTTTTTGTCAGTCCTGGGGCTTTGAACTGCAGTCCTCAGATCTCAACCTCTTGACTCGCTAGGATTACAGGCATGAATCACTGGTGCCCATCAAATAAACCATGGATTTATTTTATCTATTTCACTCTTGGGAAAATGCAGGTAATAATGCTTATTCTCTTTCATTCATCACATCGTTTTGGGAGTTCAAAGCCTTTCGAAGAGTTCTAAATTCTATACAAATTTCAAGTTTGGATTATTGACAAATCTTCTGAAGTTGAAGTATTAATGAAAAAATCTTATAAATCACTGAAAACTCTTTTTAGAAAGTAAATGCCAACAGCTAAAATCTTGGCTTCTTTGGAAAGACGAATGCATTTGTCACCACTAAAAAACAATCCACATTACTTCATTTCACTGTTGCTCAAAGCCATAAATGTTAGCTACTCAATGTCCACCACCCTCTGAGACTCTTTCACAGTGTATCATTCTAGCTTGATTGTTTTCCACAACGAAATGACTTTCTTAGTATTTGTTCATTCAATTATTTATTGAGAATTTGCTATGCACACACTACTATTTCTAGGTACCTAGGAGAAATCAGTGACTCTAATTTTCTAGAGCTTGGGATAGAGCTCAGTGAAGGAACAATTGCCTCACATGAATGATTTATAATGCCTCGGGTTCTATCTCCAGCAACATAAAACAAAAAAAGGAAACAAAAACACTAAATTATTTTCTTTCATTGAGTATGTAAATTTTTTCCAAAACCTAGCATTTAACTAGATAGTTTCTACCATACACTTGCTCATGATTAGAACTGTGGGGAGGGAGTAGAAAGTAAAAGGGATTGGTGGCATAGGTGCGGAAGAGCCATTTAAAAATCATTATGGAATGGATCTCATTAAGAAACTGATCTTCATGCAAAGGCTAGAATGAAGTCAGGAGGAGCCACAGAAACATCTGCAGAAAAAGCCACTACAATGACCTAAATCAGAATTGGTCCAAGAATTTTGAAACAAGAATCACATGAAAGAAGGCAACTGTGGATCTCTCTAGATCTTTTCCACTCCCCAACAGAGAATGGGCTGCAAAACTAGAGATCGTGTGATTGGATGGCCAGGGCCTAATACATACATTGATGCCTCTTTTCTCCCATGTGCTTTTCCACAGTCACATGACACAGGCTATCCCATTCGATGACCCTCGATTTGAGAGCTGCCAAATCATCCCTCCAGCTCCTCGGAAGGTGGAGATGAGGAGGGATCCTGTGCTGGGATTTGGTTTTGTGGCAGGGAGTGAAAAGCCAGTGGTCGTTCGCTCAGTCACACCAGGTATGAATAAATGTCCTCCCGGTTTGGTCTCATGGAATTGTCACATTGTTAGCATGGTGACTCTTTGGTGTCATAAGTGTCCAGCCTTTGAAGGTTAGGTGAGTTTGTTCACCACCTGGATAGATTACCCCCCTCAACAAAACAGATAAAAATATTTCCTCAAACTCAGTTTTAAACCGTCAAATCTGTCCTAGCATTTGGCTCAGAGAAAACAACGATCCATCATCTGTAATGATGGAAATGACCCACTTCTGAACATATGAATGCAAATTATCAGAGACAGACACATTATATGTAATCACCTGATGAATTCTGTAGAAGAAAAAGTGGGAAATACTGTTTAGGTACTGTTTAGTACAGATCGCTCATTGGGATAGTTGAATTTTTTTACACATATGTGCTTCCTTTTCTTCTCACTAGAGGTAGACTGCATTTTGCTGTCCCCTTTGTTATTGGACTGGACCAAATGACTAAACATCTGGCCACTTGGTATCCTGGAAATCATTATAGTCTGACCTATAGTTTCAAGCAGAACTGCCCAGCTGGCCAAACTCAACCAGACTTTTGTCATCCTAAAGTCTGACAACCATACATAGAAACAATGATTGGACCCCCCGCCCATTGCATTTCATGTGGTTTGTTCATAGAAAATGGTGATTGATTCAATACAGATCAAATCCCTTATAGTCTACAATAAAATAATGGACTTTATCCCAATCGTTCCCATGAGAGTATACAGAAAGCCACTTATGAACACAGCTGAATACAATAGACTGTGATGAAATTACTCTACAGACAATGTGCTTTTGATTATCAATTATGTAATTATGTAAAGGACTTAGTTTTATTTTCAGAAAAAAACTATTTCATTGATCTCCAGGATTTTGCAAATCAGCAACAGAATTTAGTAATAAAGTCCTATATTTAAGATCCTAGATTCTAGCATCAGACTGCCCAAGCTTGCATCTGCCTCAGTCCCTTATTAGGCTTCTTATCTTGCCTGCAAAATCCCTGCTTGTGGGATGTAACTTCTCTATGTCAGCCATGTTGTGTGAAATCGTTGCTCTAGAGAGGTACTTATCTTTCCATAATTCTGTTTTTTTTCTTTCCAGTGCTTGGTATCAAACTGTTCTTTATTGTGATTATTGAACTCTCAAATATTTGGCCAGCTGAGTGTGAATGAATGAAAATAGAAGTTAGCTAGTAAACTGGAATTGATTTTTAAAGTTGATTAAATTAAAAATTTTGCATTATTTTGACACAACATGCCCCAGGCAAGCACCACAAATATGATCAACCACTTTAGACTTGTGTTAAAGAGAACTAAGTGTTGTTTCATTCCTAACACTATCTCAACACCCATCTTCTTACTCTGTTGAGCTTTATACTAAATTCAGTGTGGATTATATTTTAGTTCTCACATGATTGTTGAGCTTGACACAACTGAGATTTTTTATTCTCAAAATAGAGTTATTGTTTTTACTATAATACATATGCTTTGTAAAAATATAAACAATGTGGTAATATAGCAGAGAAGGTATAACCACTTGACAGTGTAGAAGAGAAAGTAAAACAGTTACCTGAACTCCTTCCTCTCTGTAAGACAGAGCCATCATTAATATAGACACAGAGAATGTGTAGCACTTAGGATTCTGTGCATACACAAATGCAAGCATAGTATACATCATATATGGAATATATTATTTATGTATATGAGTACATTTCTTCTAAATAGAATTGTATTTGGCATACTGTACTTAATATTGGAATAGTTTTAAATGTCTGCTTATGAGATTTTCCAAGGTATGTGTCTTATTTTACATTTTTTATATTGTCTTACCACTTCATTTTTTTCCTTATCCTCAACCCACCATAATTCCAAAGACATTAATGCCTGTTAGAAAGTTTTGAGAAGAGTAGAAAAAAGCAAAGATAGGTCAAAATACTATTCCTGCTTTTTTGGAGTGAAAATGTCAGTCAAATAAATGTGTCTATCATAAAAATGATTCTACTCAATTGCAAAGTGATTTCAGTGTTGTGACCAGATTTTCTATATGAGACAATTCAGTCATCAGAGAAAACAGAATGAGACAATTCTCTAAAAGAGGCCATTGCTTTGTATTCTAGAAGGGTTTGTGTTTGTTTCTTCCAGAATTCTTGATTGAAGTTACTTGATTAAACAAGAAATTTTCCATTTAAAGGTATAAATCAAATGCAAGAACATGCCCTATTGATCTGAGAATGGTTTTCTCATCAGAAGTATTCACATTACTTTTTAAAATAATTGTTTTGATTTTTTCTGCATTTTAACCCTTTGTTGACTAACATGGAGTAGCTGCTTGCATACTTTCCAATGGTTTTTCATATTTTCACATAATCCAATAAGTTTCTCAAGTATTTTTCTGAAATTTTTTTATGTCTGTAAACACTGAATCTCAACTCTTAACTCAGTGAAATGAGTATTTTCTACTACTGGTATGGGTACATATTGAATTTCCCTGCCTTATACTCCCCAGAAAGAAGACAAACTTAGTCTACAAGTTGAAGGACACATTTGGCAAGCTTTGGGATGGGTACAAAGTAACTGAACGATCTTCAGTTTTACTTACTTGGCATGAAGTATCCATTTCAATTACTAAACAAAGTAATTGTGATATAATTGGGGCAATAACATTGTATCTGCACCGGTTACCTTTGGAAGTATAGTGAAAATTATGGCAACTCACGGCAGTATATCAATACTTGGGAGCTAACTATCTAGAAATGTAAAAATAATTCAAATAATTATCTTGGCAGTTTTATTTAAATAAAGGTGTTTCATGTAGAAGCAACTTTGTGTTAGGAAACCTGGCAATATCCAGGTTTTGGAATATGGTACAAGTACAAAAACATATATGCCATTCTGAACTTGGAAGGTTTTACCCAATTCTAGCTTTGTGCCAATACTTCCACCTGTGTGAGCTTCAGTTCTATCATGATATGGAAAGAATTACAGTATTCACTGAAGTTACTAGGCAAAGCACTTAGCCCATAACTTGCTATATAAATGCTCAACAAACATTAATACCCCACTCCAAAACTCCTTGGAAAACCAACTGAAAAACCAAAGCAGCCCTTGACATCTAAGAGTTGTTGGATCCTCAGTGTTGGGCCTGGCTGTTCTGTTAAAGATGAGCATATTTTCCTAATATCAATAGTAAATAACGTTACTCTATGACTATGATGGATCAAAACACTACAAGAAAACTTCATGTGTAACTGCACATAAACTATAAATGTAATCAACCATTCCCCTCTGCCAGATGACACGTGACTTCTGTGTCTTCATCTTTCGCATTTAGCTTGGCTTCCTTTAGCTTACCATAAGTTCAGACTCATGACAGAATTATTCCCACTTGCTATTAGAATCCTAAAACACACCTATGAATCTGCTTCAACCACATGTAAGTCAAGGCAAAATGTTATAAATCCTTCCCAACCATCTGATTGAGTGTGTTGTCTCCCTACTTATAGTAGCAAATGGGATTTTGTTCAAATACAGCCATGTCCAAGTTGTTGCAGCCTTGATGCAAGGCATCAGCACAACTGATTGCTACTTGTTGGGAGAACACCTGCTTCTAGGGGCTTCAAGATCCAAAGTAGACTCTATTGACTCTATTTGAGTAGCCTCTGTTAGCTTTTGTAAAATGCATTAGCTCAGAAACCTGCATGATAACAGGGTCTGCAGGTGATTCATAAGCTTGTGAAAGTGTGTGAAGAACTGAAGTCTGAATTGATTCCTGAATTCTATTCCCAAAGATTTTGAATTCACTGTTCATAATGTAGTCTGGGCCTCAGACTGGTTCAAAGAACACTAGGTGTGGCTGGCTGGTTTTTGTTGTTGTTGTTTTACAGTGTGCTCATGATGAGTCATGATGAGCAGAGGTTTCCAATGGGATGTCTCACCTACTCTTCCTTCTTGTTTGTCTCTAGGTGGCCCCTCAGAAGGGAAGCTGATCCCAGGAGATCAGATTGTAATGATCAATGATGAACCAGTCAGTGCAGCACCCAGGGAGAGGGTCATTGACCTGGTCAGGTAAGTGACTCACTCACCTGCACCAAAGGCTACTGTATTAGTTCTGAGACCTAATTTAGCAGAGAAAGAGCTTCCCTTAGACAAGTATAGGGTAGAAGCGTAAGTCTATGTGCTCACACTATTGAAAATGCTGATGATCCTAACTTCTAATGTGAAAACATGTGATCCTTAGGTACAGAATTCTAACTTCCTCTCTGTTAGCACTGAGGGTCTGTGTGCTTTCACCTAACATTTTTAAGATTCCTATTTCCATTACCTTATTTGAAGGCTGAATTTTTTCTTCCAGAATTACTAAAATGATGATTATTTTTATAGTAAGGGATATCAAAAGGCAAGACCTAAATTATTATGTGATTACATATCATACATATTATATATAAATAAATGTGCAAATATATTGCCAGATTTCCATGGATACCAAAACAGAAAGTCCATTGATGTTTTTTCAAACATCAGATCAACAACTGAGGTAAATAGATAATTAGGTCAATGCTATGCCAGGCAAAGGTCTAATTATGGATATAAAGTTTGTTGTGTAATATTTTTAGTTAGACATGAAAGAAAAAAAACATTTAAAATACATATCTTAGGGTTCATTTTCCTAACATCACCTAATCTGACCTTTTCTGCTTGACTCATACATATACTAGATATTGCAAATAAGGGAAATCATGGGACCTATGTT